ATATATAAAGATTTGATCTTTTTGTTGTATTCATTTCCTCTTTAGGCCAACACCGGCTTGTTTAAAGTCTGCCAGCCAGTCAGCTTATTTATAACTATACCAGATTTAGTGAGATTTAATGAATTATTCACATTTCAAATCTTTGGAATGTGCAAAAATATTTTTACCAATCAGATTGAATATTAACTTTTGTATGATTAAGGGATTTATTGTGGTAAACTTTCAATACACAAGTATTCAAACAGCTTTTACTCACAATATAATGTTTACACAATGACACATCAAGCAATGGTCAAGTAAATTATGACACACCTTTCAACTATGTGTGTCGGTAGCAACTTGGACTTATTTGATCTCTGAATATTAATCTTGATTTGTAGACAGTTTTCTGTCACCATTTTCCACATTATTGGTCATATAGAGCTAGTAAAATATTAAAAATGATGTCACTACTTCACCTTGAATTTTTTTCTTTGATACAGGTGTGCTGATGTGATTAAAATTCAAACCAAATTACATTTAATAGATATTTTTATTTCCGTTGCTTTTATCTGTTGAATATTAAGCAGTTCATGGGTTACCGACATTTGTTGACATGTTATAGGGTTAAGAGTTGTATAAAGTGACTCATATCAAAAATAAAACACAGGAACTAAAGTTAATTAGGCCCAGGAAACTACACTCATTGCTAGTACTGCACTTTGGAAATCTCAAGAATAAAAAAAAAATGGTTTTACAATTCTTGTTTTGGACAAAGGAGTTATGGTGTGAGTCACATGAGCTACAAGATAAACATCACGTCTCCCATCCTTAACAAAAGCTGTTTCTGATTCTGCTTTGTATAATGTGTATTCTTTGTCTCTATAATACATCCCATTTTCTCTTGATCAATAGTAGTATCCTTCAGCTCAATGTCCCTTTACCTTTTACACTCTATAATCTCTATTTAACTCTGGATGATAGAATTCCAACACACTTGCTACTGTTTTCAGTCAAAAATGTCTAAATTAACTCTGTTATTGTATCGACCCTCAAAGGGCATTTGGGTACTTAATTAAGTGGATGTGAAAAAAAAATTGGATTTAATTTTCCAGGGTTTTAATTAAAATAGACTTCCAGGTGCATGGAAAGTGCAAAATTATTGAAAATATACTGCACACCTGTGAAGTCATAAATGCTTTATAAATGTAAGCACAATATGTTGATATTTCATTTACAATGACAGGTAAGGTTTATATATATTTTGCTTTCAGGTGAGGACTTTTCTATTATTCTGTCATTCAGAATGCAACAGTTGTCAAACTTTTTTTCTTTATGCCTGTAGATATTGATCTAATATTTGGAACATTATTATGTAAAGATCCAGTTTGAATTTGGTTGAATGACTTTTGGCATGATTGTAGTCCTTGGACAAAGAACTTTATTTGAAAGTGTCCTTTTTTTGTAATTTGTTTGCAAATCTGGAGTTGATTTTTGGCACATTATTGTATAATGATGACTTAAAGAAAGACTTTTGGTTTCATTGCTGTTGAACTATTTTTATGATAAGGCTGCAGGTAGGAAATTTGTGTCAGACATAAACACTAGTTTTCTGTGATGAATTTATCTTTTGTTATTATATTGTTGTTCATAAAGATTTAAGAAATGACCATTCAACTTTAAGGGAGGGTTATGGTTTTTTCCTAAAAAAATTTCTGATCCCCAATTTGATAAAAAAAAATATTGTGGTCAAGCAGATGACAAAAAAAATATTCTGAATCCAGATTTTTCCCATACCTTATAGTGTTAAATTTTGAAAAATAATTTGATTGATAGCGTCGAAAAAGTCGCGCTTTATGGGAAACAAATTTTCTGACTCAGACAAAAAACCATACCCCCCATTGAAGTTAAATGGTTGTTCCCTCAATTAGTAAAGAATGGCTGTTTTGAGAAGTGAAACAATTATGGTAGTTTTGGGATATTGGGGATATTTCCACTTGTGAAGATAAAAAGAGAAAAAAATATAAAAAGATAATTGTCTATTGAAAAATATTATTTTTTAAATAAAATACTGAAAAACGCCCACTTGCCAAATGTTCTTCTGGATCACAGTGGGTAGATGCTTGGTTTAATTGTCACCCCTTCAACATTGTGGAACTAACTGAAAGTGACACTTACTAAAGTGCAAAGTTCATATCCTTTTAAATATTGTCCTTATATAGAACTTACCCAATTACACAATTTCTTTACTTCATGTAAATGTTTTATTGATAAAAGTTAATAAAACAGTTATTTGATTTCTGTCAGAGTTAGTCTGACCTAAATATCTTATAGATATTGTGTAATTAACCTGTCTGTTATATACACTTGGGTAGATATGGTTAGGCTTATCTTTAGGAATAAAGGTATGTGTAACTAAAGGAAGGAAGTGAAGGGGTGATGAACTCCAAATGGTTAAAGGGATGCGTATGAGGAATATACAGGGTTAGGGAACTGGAAAACAGAATAAAAGGTGTGTGTAACTTGATGGTTTAAGGGTAAAAAATTAGGCTTGGAAAGAAAATGCTTAGTAACTGGGTGAACAAAGTAAAGTGATCAGGAACTGGATATAGAAAGAATAGTGACTGAGAACTAATGGTAGAAAGGTAAAGGATAAGGGACATTGTGAAAAAAATGAAAAGGGAAGGAACTGGCCTTCAACTGGGTGAATAATGTGAAAGAGAGTGTGACCTTGAGGGAGAAAGTAGAAACGATCAGAAACTGAAGGAAGAAAAAAAGGATAAAGAGGTAGAGGCAGAAAGATATTGTAGGAGAGGACATTTTTGGATAGAAAGTAACGGGTGGGATAAAGTAATAAAGCTAAAGTGAACAAAGTTGAAACCATCAATTTTAACCACCAAATGCATATTATCATTAGTGATTAGTATTTTTGTGGTCACAATAAACCACAAGGTACAAAAACAATGTGTACTGTGATAAGTGTGAAAAAAGTATACCACACACTAACAAATACATAACTTCCTTCATATATACTTGTGTATTGTCTATATTGCAATTGTTTAATATAAAAAATCACTGTTCTGATTATGCCCTTAATGGGTCATCTATGGGAAATAAAATGTATCTATCTATTCTATCTATTTCCATTTTATACTCGGACATATAGTAGATAATTTAGATGAATGGAAGTATGAGGTTAACAATGGGTGATTTATTAAACCAGATAATTATTCCTAGAATTCAAATCCAGACAACAAAATGGTGTTATTGTAGCACAAAGCTTTTAATCACTGTAATAAGTTGAATGACTGTTGCAGACATGTGTATTAAATGTTAATTATTTGCCATGACAACAGCAAGTTTGTTATTTGATGTCATCAATGAAATTATTGAAAGGTTTGATGAGGGAATTAAGTTTTTTTTACAGATAAATTATTAAAATGTGTAGGTAGTGCCTAATTTTAAGGTTGCTTGCTTGGGGTGGGTGGGGAGTTACATATAACCTCTTGTACTACCATTTAAAGATCTGCCTGTTGGTCAAGTACCAAGCAGGGGTCATATTCATAAAACATGTATATGTTTTTTTGTGCTGATATGCATGTAATGTTTGTCACTAGTCATTAAACATAATTCCATTCATCCACCATGCAAACAAGCAGGTTAAACTATATTGTTCTTTGTGAGAATAGATATGCTATAATTTTATTTGGGGTTATTGGGAACTTGTAATGATTGCAACATAGAGCTTAGCAAACATTATAGACAGTTGACTGTTTTTAAAGACATTTATGACGAGATCGTTAAATGAGGATATTTGGGCACACTTTGCAGTTTTAATTATATAAGTACAATGTACTGATATCTGACGTCACAAAAAGTTTTGGTTATAATACAAGTGTTGCCCTGTGTGTATTTCCATAGAACATATATCTTTTACACTGACTAGACATAATAGGATATATATACTTTTTATGTTCCTATGGATTACTGACATTACAGATCAAACATGTCATGTGATAGTCATGTGATAGTCAGGTAGACTTACAGGTTCAGGTTAATAATGATTAAATCTTTAGGTCTTAACTTTTACCTGATACATCTGAAAATTGTATACAACATGATTGTGGATAAATAGTACTACCTTTTTTTCTACATTATTCTTATTTTGACTAAAGATAAGATCATCTCAATTCACCTTGATTTTCACCTTGAAATAAACTTTGACAGGTGAAAAACAGAGGAGCAGATGTTCATGATTAAGATATAATTGAATACCTGTGAAAATATTTTTTTAAACTATGGTTTTGAATGATGTTTGTTTACTAAGACATTTTTTGTCATACAGAATTTGTCAACAAAATCAATATGATACTGATATTGTTCAGAATTATAGCCAGGATGTTTCAGAGGGGGTTATTTGGGGTCATGGTGCTGTGACTTAAATAGTTGATCTTCATTCTGAATTTTGACTTTAATAGTATTTTTATGCCCCTGCCGTCACTGCAGGGGGCATTAAGTGTTACCCTTGTCTGTTTGTATGTCCATCCGTCCGTACATACGTCCCGAAATTGGTTTCCGTTCTCTAACTTTAGTTTGCCTCAACCAGATGTTATGAAACTTATACACAATGCTTATTATCTCAAAAACAGATCAAGTTCGAGTCATGCCCCTTTATAACATTATATGCAAGGGGGGCATCATCTGTGTCCCATGGACACATTCTCCATTTATTTATGTTTCGGGAAGGGGGGGAGTTGCACCTGAGTTGTGCTGTTGTCTTCTGAAGATATTGTTGAGAAGACTGGAGATGTTTTTACAAATCTGCCCTTTACTTTAATTGGTATTATTGTTATTGTTTACCAACATATTGGGTATCTATGTTATATGGGAATAGATTCTGAAAATCTTGGAATGCTATAGTTCCATTGGGCTAAATGAAAAAAATAGTAAGTCTGATGTCAATTTCAAATTAGTTTAGATACATATATTTTGCTTTTAAATTGGAAGGTTTGTATTTTCAGGGCCACACGAGCATTTCAACAAGTATTGTATACAGATCCAGGTTTTAGTAGAGCTAATGAAATCAGAATACGTCTTGGATTGATGTGTAAAACCTCAACAGATTATGAAGTCAGTTTAAAGGTATATCATTTAAGAAATCCTATATATCTACAAGATTGTATTAAATACAAAGAAGAATAACATGACCAAGTTAGTTCCTCAGAAATCTATGGGGACAATAATAAACTGAGTTCTTCAATCAGAAATCCAGGGGACAGCTAGAACAAAAGTTTACTGAAGTCCCCCCCCCCAATCATAAATCATGGGAACAATTATTGGAAATATTTGTCCATTAGAAATGCAGAAGACAATACTTGATAATGTTTATTAATGATAATTAATGACGTAGTGTCTGAGATAGGACTAAGAATATCTAGAACACGTAGTGTCTGAGATAGGACTAAGAATATCTAGAACATGTAGTGTCTGAGATAGGACTAAGAATATCTCGAACACGTAGTGTCTGAGATAGGACTAAGAATATCTAGAACATGTAGTGTCTGAGATAGGACTAAGAATATCTAGAACATGTAGTGTCTGAGATAGGGCTAAGAATATCTAGAACATGGAGTGTCTGAGATAGGACTAAGAATATCTAGAACATGTAGTGTCTGAGATAGGACTAAGAATATCTAGAACATGTAGTGTCTGAGATAGGACTAAGAATATCTAGAACATGTAGTGTCTGAGATAGGACTAAGAATATCTCGAACACGTAGTGTCTGAGATAGGACTAAGAATATCTAGAACATGTAGTGTCTGACATAGGACTAAGAATATCTAGAACATGTAGTGTCTGAGATAGGGCTAAGAATATCTAGAACATGGAGTGTCTGAGATAGGACTAAGAATATCTAGAACACGTAGTGTCTGAGATAGGACTAAGAATATCTAGAACATGTAGTGTCTGAGATAGGACTAAGAATATCTAGAACCTGTAGTGTTTGAGATAGGACTAAGAATATCTAGAACATGTAGTGTCTGAGATAGGACTAAGAATATCTAGAACATGTAGTGTCTGAGATAGGACTAAGAATATCTAGAACATGTAGTGTCTGAGATAGGACTAAGAATATCTAGAACATGTAGTGTCTGAGATAGGACTAAGAATATCTAGAACATGTATTGTGAGATAGTCCTATCCAAGGTAGTACCAGTCACTAGTAGTTGTTTAACATATATATTAATATGTATGACAACATACCTGTCTGATTCAGTCACCTGTAACATGTATCTTATGGTAATAAGTCTGAACACAGCCTATATACAAATTTGTAGGTTTTCATAATTTTTTTGTAAATGGTAATATTTACTGGAAGTCTTACAATAATAAATGAATGAATTGATTAATATAAGCTCATTAGACTTGAAGGGTCAGTGTCAGGTGTTTTCAGTAATTCTCCATCATATATTTCATTCACTATGTTTCCTTTAATTTATTGATATTCCTAATTAATTAGTCTGATATTTTGAGAGATGACAATGTATGGGTCTATGTGTATGTATGTAATCTCACATTTCATATGATAATATCAGCTGACTTTTTATTTGCAGCATTTTAAACAAGCACTTACAGACTCAAGCCCTTGTTCTTTGTCTAAAGCACAAAGTAAGTATTTAAACAAGCACTAACATACTCAAGCCCTTGTTCTTTGTCTAAAGCACAAAATATTTAAACAAGCACTAACAGACTGAAGCTCTTGTTTTCTGTCTAAAGCACAATGTAAGTATTTAAACAAGCACTCACAGACTCAAACCCTTGTTCTTTGTCTAAAGCACAAAGTAAGTATTTAAACAAGCACTAACAGACTGAAGCTCTTGTTCTCTGTCTAAAGCACAAAGTAAGTATTTAAACAAGCACTAACAGACTCTAGCCCTTGTTCTTTGTCTAAAGCACAAAATATTTCAACAAGCACTAACATACTGAAGCTCTTGTTCTCTGTCTAAAGCACAAAGTAAGTATTTGAACAAGCACTATTAAACAGACTCAAGTCCTTGTTCTTTGTCTAAAGCAAATCTACTGACAAACTAGTCACTATAGATACAATGACCTGCATTTCATATTTGACAAATTTTGCTTAGGTCTATATTGAGCAGTTCTTTGACATTTTGATCATTAAAGATCCAAGTGAAAGCTTTTTTACATATTTTATTTTTGATTGGGTATTAATGTCTAACAGAACTTCTTACAGTTTTTGTCTTGCCTGCGACGAAAGTCACAGAATGAGAGACATAGGTATGCTGATTATGTTGCAGTGGCATAAACACTTTGTGTAAAGCATTATATTTCAGAAGGTACAAGACCTGGATTCTTCATACCTTGTATATAGATGCCTAATGTTACAAAGGTTCCTTCTGTCATGTCCAATGTCATTGACCTTATTTCCGTGGTTGAACGACTGCCTAAAAACTATATAGTTTTTTGTCATATGAATTTCTCAATTGTTATGAGTAATAGGATGATTATATTTCATATATGGGATCCTTGCAAGGTCTACATATCTGTCAGACAGAATTCAACTGACCTTGACCTCATTTCATGGATCAGTGATCAAGGTTAAAGTTGTGTGATTAGGTCCGTTTCATAGCTACAGAAAGCAGTAGCTCAATTGCATTTGGTGTATGGAAGGCTTGTAAGGTGTATAGGGTCAAACTGTCATATTTCCTGCTGCTTTGCCTCGTTAAATTGGATCATTGATAATGAAAAGTTTATGTGATACTTATAGTTAAACCTTTATCTCAAAGACTTTCAACACAAAATCATTCATGGTATCAACATTATATATAAAAGGATAAAACAAAAACTCAAGGACGACTTTGCCTGTGAACTCATTCAGGTGAAAACAAAGGAACATTTGGCACATTACAGCAGATGGACATTAATTAGTATCAGAGGAACAAGATAAAACCCAGTTCTCTTAGTAATGATTCTTTGTTATAATACAACTCCATACTGCACATTAATTAGTATCAGAGGAACAAGATAAAACCCAGTTCTCTTAGTAATGATTCTTTGTTATAATACAACTCCATACTGCACATTAATTAGTATCGGAGGAACAAGATAAAGCCCAGTTCTCTTAGTAATGATTCTTTGTTATAATACAACTCCTTGCTGCACATTGATTAGTATCAGAGGAACAAGATAAAACCCAGTTCTCTTAGTAATGATTCTTTGTTATAATACAACTCCATACTGCACATTAATTAGTATCGGAGGAACAAGATAAAACCCAGTTCTCTTAGTAATGATTCTTTGTTATAATACAACTCCATACTGCACATTAATTAGTATCAGAGGAACAAGATAAAACCCAGTTCTCTTAGTAATGATTCTTTGTTTTAATAAAACTCCATACTGCACATTAACAAGATGTCCAAGATAAAATAGATCAAGCTTATGTTGGTTTTTTTCATTTCAGTACAACTGCATATTGCACATTTGTTGGAAGTTCAGGGTAAAATCAAACAAGCTAAGGAGGCTTATGAACAGTTCATTACTCCCGAAGATTTAGATAAATCAGTGAAAGCTACTGCTTTAAAACAACTAGGTAATTATTTTATCCTCTACTTTCTCTAAGGAATGAGTTTATTTATATGAACTTTTCAGCAAATTAGTCAAAATTAAAAAATATTCTTTCAGATTTTGTTCAGTCTAAAAATACTTTGAATGTATCATAGGTATTTAGGCTAAATGTTTCTCTTTTTGTTGATATAGTTATTTTTTTCATTACATTAAAGTGCACTTTGACAGCTTAAAAACAGGAAATGATATTTGAAAATATCCTATTAAGTATTTCATAACATGATTATATATAAGTATACCAAAATAGTACATTGAGTATTATTAAACATACTTTTGAATCCACTTGTTAATACCTTGAATCATGAAAGTGTTTTTGGTTATGTATCCTACACAAATGAATTTCCAATTTAGTTTATAATAACCTCTCTATTTTGTCTCAGTGACAAATAAAAGTACTATTATTGTTTTCTTTGTATATTTGGACTGTCCTATAATACTGGTACCATCATTTATATCCTGCATTATCTCGTCTCCTTGATTTAAACATTATGGAGGATAAGTAAGGACATTGTTAAACACATCTTTTTATATGACCGCAAAAACGACCACAAAAAATTTCGTATATTGGTATGACGTTGGCGTTATCGTCGTTGTCGTTGTCGTCGTCATCCGAAGACACATTGGTTTTCCCACAATAACTTTAGTTTAAGTGAATGGATCTCTATGAAATTTTATATAAGGTTCAATACCACAAAAGGAAGGTTGAGATTGATTTTGGGGGTTATGGTACCAACAGTTAAGGAAAATTGGGGCCAAAAAGGGGCCAAAATTAAGCATGTTTCTAGTTTCCAGACAATAACTTATGGAACGGTGTATGGATCTCTCTGAAATTATACCACAAGTTTCCATACCACAAAGGGATGGTTAGGATTTGCTTTGGGGGGTTATGGCTCAAACCGTTTAGGAATTAGGGGCAAAAAAGGGGGAAAAACAAGGGTGTCCTGGTTAATGGACAAATACTTTAGTACAAAACATAATTAAAAGCAGTGTAAGGGAGGTAATTCAAATACATCATTTGAATTACCTTCCTTACACTGCTTTTAAATTATGTATAAAGTAATGGTTAATGAACAATTAAGACAATTTAAAAGCAGTGTAAGGGAGGTAATCCAAATACAACATTTTGATTACCTCCCTTACACTGCTTTTAAATTATGTTTAAAGAAATGCATATTTATAAAGGAAGACCAGTAAAAATATCTGCAAATGTTGCATCTTTTTTTTTTTACAAAAAAATCCATATGAAAGATTTGACACCATATTTTAAATTCTATTATAAAATAGATTAAGTGTGCACTATGGTATGGTAAATTTAAATGGGTAATTATGGTAACAGCAAAGTGTATTGCACAAAAGCAAAAAATTGAATATAAATTCAAATCATATAACCAATTCTAAGTTCTTTGACTACAGTTATTCTGTGTCAGAAACCTTTTATGTGTCAAATATTTAATTACAATCCAAATTCAGACCTATATCAAGCATGAATATTGCGTCCATTTTTGCCCCAACTGTTCGGGGTTTGACCTCTGCGGTCATATCCAGCTGCGCTTGGCAAAGCAATTTATTGTATGTCTGTTACAAAGAATTGTCTATTCTACAAATTTTGTCAACTGGGTTTGAAAGATGGGTTTATGAACAAATTGCATATTTCAGTTTTGTAAGTAGCCAACAAAATTTGCCTTTTGCATGCATATCAAATATGATAATGTAAAAGAGATGCCAAAGATGCCAAGGGGATATTCAAACTCATAAGTCAAAAAAAAACTGACATTACAGACATTATGCCATGGCAAAGACAAACAATGACAAAAAGACAAACAACAGTACACAAAACACAACATAGAAAACTAAAGACTGAGCAACATGAACCCCACCAAAAACTGTGGGTGATCTCAGGTCCTCCGGAAGGGTAAGCTGATGCGGCTCCACAAGTGGCAACCCTCATGTTACTCATGTAAGTACAAACCCGGTGATAAGTCAAATTCGGTAGGTCACATTGGAGGAAAAGAGGACGGATTGTGGGTTCAACAATTGGAACATACGTTGTCATCTGTAGATTTTTCGAAGGGATGAGTTCAACTTCAACACTTAGAACTCTCGGTTCAATAGCTTCCTTGTAAACAGCAACACTCTATCAAGAAAATCATGATAGGAAATGCAAGCTCTGGATTATCCAATCAACTGGGAGGTATATACTCCATATGCAGGTGCTGCTGGAATGTTGCTTCATAGAAATGGAAAGTTTACAATTGGGAAGCTGAAATCATAATGTAACATAATGGAAGTGATTTGATATTGAGACAGCTAACATTTCTCAGTTATTTACAATACCCAAACAATAATATATATTTCTGTAGAAAATTGATAAAATGGTGCATTTCTTTTTTGGTTCAATACATAAATGAAATATGTTATTTCATATGGAAGAAAAGTCAAAACAGAGCAAAAGTATTAATATTTGTTGTAGGTTGGTTATACCATACATCAGATCAACTTGGAGACAAGAAATCTAGAGAGGCATCTGCAGTTCTATATCTCAATAAATCACTAGAGTGTGATCCAACTAACGGACAAACCTGGTATCTTCTTGGGAGGTAAGTCATTTGTTTACATACAGGGACAAACCTGGTATCTTCTTGGAAGGTACGTCTATTGTTTACATACAGGGACAAACCTGGTATCTTCTTGGAAGGTAAGTCTATTGTTTACATACAGGGACAAACATGGTATCTTCTTGGAAGGTAAGTCTATTGTTTACATACAGGGACAAACCTGGTATCTTCTTGGAAGGTACGTCTATTGTTTACATACCAGGAGAAACCTGGTATCTTCTTGGAAGGTAAGTCTATTGTTGACATACAGGGACACAGCTGGTATCTTCTTGGAAGGTAAGTCTTGTTTACAAGCAGGGACAAACCTGGTATCTTCTTGGAAGGTAAGTCTATTGTTTACATCCAGGGACAAACATGGTATCTTCTTGGAAGGTACGTCTATTGTATACATACCAGGAGAAACCTGGTATCTTCTTGGAAGGTAAGTCTATTGTTGACATACAGGGACACAGCTGGTATCTTCTTGGAAGGTAAGTCTTGTTTACAAGCAGGGACAAACCTGGTATCTTCTTGGAAGGTAAGTCTATTGTTTACAAGCAGGGACACACCTTGTATCTTCTTGGAAGGTAAGTCTCTTGTTTACATACAGGGACAAACCTGGTATCTTCTTGGAAGGTAAGTCTATTGTTTACAAGCAGGGACACACCTTGTATCTTCTTGGAAGGTAAGTCTCTTGTTTACATACAGGGGTCCAAAATTGTTTTATTTACTTTTTTAAATTAATTTGAATTAGTATCTAGTATCAGGATGTTTTGTAATGTGTCATGGTTTGAGAGAGGTGGCTATTGGAGTTATTTATTGAAATTGATAGGTAGGGCTATTGAATGTCATAGACAAATAACAAACTGTTGTCTACTGGTAATCTCTAGGAAGCAGTATTTGTCACAACAAAAGTGAAAATTTGACCTCCTGGAACTCGATTCTTCCTATATACCTTTATAAGGCTTGTCCAGAGGTGTAAATTGAAATTAATTTTACAATAGTTTGTATCTACTCTGCTTTAACAAAAAACTGTTGTTTGATATTTCCTGAGAGATGTCAATTCACACACATATATATATGATATTTGACATACGTAATATGTGTGGTGTGAAACACATGGAAATTGTTTTTTATCTGTCAGAGTATTTACTGATCATTCACAGGATGGATTTCAGCTTAGAGAATTGTTCTATGTCGTATGTTCGAATTTCTTTATATTTAATATATGATACTGTTATTTTACTGAATCCTTAATATCTGATTCTGTTATTTTGCTGAATCTTTGATATATGATACTTTTATTTTATGAAAGAAAGTCATTTGCTGGCTATGGCTGACTCAAAAGGATATTGTTTTTGCAAAATAATTCATACAAAATTGCCCACTGCTTGTTGAATGTTTAAAAGCGATTGGTTTTATATTTGCTGAATGTTTGATAAAGAATATGGTTAATTTTTTTGACAAATGTTTTAGATAGAGAGTTATATTTTTCAGGTGTTTTTCTGCCCTAGGAAAAGTACACGATGCTTTCGTTTCCTACCGTAACTCTATTGACAAATCAGAAGCTAGTGCTGACACCTGGTGCTCAATAGGGTAAGTATTATAGATGTCTTCATTTGTTACATTGGAAATGTAAATATTGTTTTAAGTCAAAATTGTAGGTGCTTTAACATGTTTATTGATTGATTGTCGGTTGCTTAATGTCCAGTGGCAAATTTGACATGTTTAACGTTTACATTTCTCCTTGGAGTTAAATGAAATTCATGTCAAAAGTTAACCTCAGCAATATTTAAGACAAGTTCAAAAATCTATGCTAATCAAATATTTCTGGGAAGTTGTGCCCCTTAGAAATGTAGATACCAAAGTAATAGAGATGATTGTAAGCACTGTCATTTGTACATTTCTCATCAGCCATTAATTATATTTATGTCAAAAGTTCACATCAGCAATATATATCAGACTGATTGGAAAAAAATATCGTTTTTATGGAAGTTGTGCCTATTTGAAAATATAAGTTTTATTGAAAATTCCAGTATATTGACACGGGACATATGCTTCCATATGTCTTTAGTTTTTTTTCATAAATACATCTGACCTACATAAGGACAACAGGCACATAGAATTTAGAATGGAACCTATAATGTCTTGCTCTTGTCTTAAAGTCTTGCTCTTTTATCATAATTAGGTAATTTTTCCTTTCCAAATTATTTACCGGTTCAAAATCTCACAACCATGATGAGACCTGACCTTAAATAGTTGCACATGAAACCAGTTTATATATATATATATGTTACAAAAGTGTGTTGATTTTTACAGAGTACTTTATCAGCAACAGAACCAGCCTATGGACGCTCTGCAAGCCTATATTTGTGCTGTACAGCTTGATAAATCTCACACTGCAGCATGGACTGATCTGGGAATTCTCTATGAAACTTGTAATCAACCTAAGGACGCTTACACCTGTTACATAAATGGTACTAGAAATAAAGGTAACTGTATAAAGCACATACTTGGTTATCATATATCTTGTTCTACAACAGATGAAAAATAAAAATATTTGCATTCTCTTAACTTGACAGAGTTTTCATCAAATTCTGTGGCTGATTAATTTAATTTTGTAAGACATTGCAATCTGTTAAACAATGTTTTATAACAATTATTTCTGTTCTTAATACAGTAAATTCAGAAATTATTGCAATTTTTTTTTAAAGAAAGGACAAAAATGTGTGATTTTTAAGATTTCAGGAAAATTTGCCTACAGATATATGTGTTGGATATCAGAATGCAAGATCTTATGATTTTGATAATAATCCAGTGGCATTATTTGCATTAATTAGAACCTCACAATAATATCTGAATATACAATCAAGAAACTCTTTGCAAATAACATAAAGTAAAATGAATAAAGTTGAAAAGAAGATTGCTTGTTACTGGAAAATTGTATGACTGTGCCTTTCTGAATAAAACAATAAGGTTATATTTAGAGAGAAAAACTTAAGAGGACAGTCATGACAGTAGGATACAATAATATTTTGTTTATTTTTCAGGGGGAGTTAACTCTGCTTTAGCATCAAAAATAAAGTTTCTTCAGCAACATTTAGATAGTGTTCCTATACAACATTTACAGAATAGGTAAGTTCCTACGGTACTATTTCAATAGAGGCATCATTAATGATTGCATGTTGGTAAAACATTAAATTGTTATTGATTAGAAGATTGAATAAAACAACTTAACAAAATTTAGCAAAATCTACCTGTCTTAATACTTTAATAAATAATTTTTCAAGAATATCAATAAGCTTTTCTGTAGTGCTTGCAAATCTTACAGAACTCCATAAGGTATAATGAATACTGACAAATTGAGTGTGTGTTTTGCTCTGGTTGACAACTTTTGGCAGAATTACAGTTAGTTTTTCCTGATAAGGCTGCTGGCACAGTAATGCTGAATTTTGGGAACTAAAAAGCTAACAGAACAAAAGAATAAATCCTAACAGTTCAAATATAAAGTTGAAATATTGATTCATTTAAAAAATGTTTATGAACAATAGATAGATGTCACCCAGTCATTATTAATATTTGCGAAAATTATTACAAAATTTTGAATCTATAATGTAATTTTATGTAATCTTTTAAATATATGTTTAGGCCTAAAACCTTGCCAAGTATAGAAGAAGCGTGGACATTACCTATTCCAGCAGAATTAACATCAAGACAGGGAGCTGGACCCATTACACAGGTAAAATAACTTTTGACATAGACAATTTTATAAAGGAACCAAATATTAAATTAAAATATAAAATCAATATCACAGAAGCTGCTGTTTCATTATACAGGTTAATTATCAAATATTTGATATTCATATTGAAAACCTGACCAAGACAAGGTTTTAATTAGGTAAATGTCAATACTGGATGACACTATGGTAAGACTGGAAGTCGATCCAATTAAAAAGGACATTAAGAAATCAATCTAATTCAACAGGTAACATGTCAAATATTGGATGGCACTATAGGAAGGCAGGGAGCTTGTCCTATTTAACAGATTAAATTGAAAAATACTTGAAAAGGTTATGACAGGTGTCCAGTGACATGATTTATTATTCCTTTCAAACAATTGAGGATCAGTTCAATGAACAATATACATGTAGATACATTCCTTTTAATGGTACATATTTTTACATTATATTTTGAAGCATGTTTTAATGTTTATGATATTTATTGCAGCATCCCTTGGCAAAGGGCCCAATGATGCCAGCTCAGCCTCCTCAGTCCAATATGCCACAGTCTTCTCTGTCCCCTGGACCCCAGGGGGTGATGCCTACTGGTCAGATGTTTGATGATAAGAAAAAGAAGCCTCAAGGCAGGAAAAGAGTAAGTTTGACAGAAGCTTAAATGAGCTTAATGAAATGATTTTAATTACCTTCAAATTTCCTCAGCAAACTATGGAAATACCTTATGTATAGAATTGTTTGATAATATGCTTTTACCTAGGCATACTATAGTTGTGTTCTCTAGGGATTTTTTATTGTGCTGTGGCAAGCACGCAATATATGACTGATTCACTTTTTGCATTGCTACATGAAAGTTTGTAATGCCTCGTTGGTTATGCTTACATATATAAAAAAATAACTATATTTAAAACATAGATAGAAATAGATTACATTTTCATTATAATTAGCATTGAAAATTGAAATACTAGTATTTACATTTGTAAAACGTCCACTTATTTCAAGAAGTAGATACTTAAAGTAATTTAACACATGTATTTTCACTTACAAGTTTATAATTTACTGACTAATCAGAAATACTTTATGTACTATATATGTATTTTGATTCACTATGAATCTACTGTAAAATGGTTGATTACCATGCTCATGTGGTAATCTACAGTAATTTGGTAAACTACCATGCTTCAACATTGATAAATTACCTTATTCCTGTGGTTATCTTTTATAATCATTGTACATTACCATGCTCTTGTGGTAATCTACAATAATTTGGTTTACTACCATGCTTCAACATTGATAAATTACCTTATTCCTGTGGTTATCTTTTATAATCATTGTACATTACCATGCTCATGTGGTAATCTACAGTAATTTGGTTAACTACCATGCTTCAACATTGATAGATTATCTTATTCCTGTGGTTATCTTTTATAATCATTGTACATTACCATGCTCATGTGTTTATCTACAGTAATTTGGTTAACTACCATGCTTCAACATTGATAAATTACCTTATTCCTGTGGTTATCTTTTATAATCATTGTACATTACCATGCTCATGTGGTAATCTACAGTAATTTGGTTAACTACCATGCTTCAACATTGATAAATTACCTTATTCCTGTGGTTATCTTTTATAATCATTGTACATTACCATGCTCTTGTGGTAATCTAAAACATCACGGTGGATTGTGGTAATTTATTGTAACAATGGTAATAGTAATCCTTGTTTGTGTGGATATCTATTGTAACCTGGTAGTATACCATTCCCTGTGTATTATTAGATGGTAGATTCCTAGTTTTATCATGTTTTTTGTGGCAATCTTCTATAACATAATGAGATGACCATTATCTTTTCAGCCCCATGATGATTTCCATCCACCCTCACCAGTGACCTTCACTAATGAACAGATGCAGCTTCTACAGAATTTGCAACAGAATCGAATGTCCTTAGATCCTACTCAACTTAATCTCTTACATCAGCTACATACACAGTATCAATTGTTTAAAGCATATCAAATGAAAATGCAACAACTAAATCAACAGGTAGGATTTCTAACACACTACTTAATCTGAATTTGAGATGGCATTCCTGTTCTTAAGTTTTTTTCTAAATTTTGTTTTCAGTTTATATGAGATTACGAATGTAAATTAATTACTGTTTTCATATGTCACCCATTTTAAGACTTTTCAGATAATGTACTGACACTTTTTGGTACAAATTGTATACTGTAAACTAACTTTTAATTCATAACAAGGCCTCAGCCTACTTTGCATAATTTATTTAAAAAAAAAATTATTTGCGTATTTCTCATTTTCTTGGTGTATTTATATAATTTTAACATTTTATATGCTGGCTATATTTCTACTCTCAAAAGTTATGAAAAATAAATCTGACATGAAAGTTAGTTGTTTTGCAGTATTATATGTTATCTGGTTTGCTCTTCATCTATATACATGATGGCATGATGTAAATTTGAGGGTCAAGGTCTGAATGATTAATCTTGCAAGTTTAAACAATAAACAGATCTTTTATGTTTCTGTAATTTTATTTAAATCATTCTATGTCAGCATTATTTAGAAATATAAATGCTATGTTAAAGTGCATAAATAACGTTATTTTGTTTGATAACAGGACACTAATCCTAGTAAAGTTGCTGCTTTATCAGGGGAACCAGAAACTCAACGATTTCCTAAACCAAACATCTCGTGTGGTCAAGACATGCTCAATGGAGTGCCTTCTGTAAATCAGCATTCCTCAAGTGACACTCAGGGCATCAATGTTACGTCCAGGTCGCACACATCGAGTGGAACTTCATTGTCGTCATCATCAGCAGTTCACACATCCACAACAGATTCAGATCTCCCAAAAGACATTCAAAACTTTGTGTCCGAACATTTACATGATAGTGATATATCGACAATTTTGTCACCAAAACAAGCACTTGCTACCTCCATTGCAGAGGATATTCTCGCTCAATTCACTGCTGAATCTAGTCCCTCATCAAAGTTACATTCCAAAGTGTCTCAGGATATACCTCAATCTAAGGAGGAAAAACATTGTGATAATAGAACTGTGGCCATTCCAAAGGAATTACTCCCACCATCTTGTCCATTGTCAATATCAATGAAAGCTTACGAAATTCTAGCAGCAACTAAAGGTCAAGGTAGGTTCTGATTCATTAAATATCTAAGGTTGACTTATTTTGTTCATTGTCTCAAAGTCAAATGGGAGGACAAATGGTAATAAATGCAAATATGAAAGAAGAAAAAAACAGGTGAAAAAATATGTCAACTGAAACAGGTGAAAAAATATGTCAACTGAAACACTAGAAAACTTCATGTTTGTTTGACAAACTGATTACAGCATCTTATATTTAGCCGTGTAAGTTTCAATGTTTTCCAGAAACAAAATATAAATTGACCACAATAGTATTTGATCTGTATAAGAATGAATTATTATTATAGGTAAACATGGAGTGACCATCAGTATGATGGGAGATGGAATACCTAGACCTCCTCCTTCACCATTTCCTCCTTTGCCAAAAGACAGACTCAACCCTCCAACACCTAGTGTTTATGTAAGTATCATGTGTTGTGATGTGGAGTCCCCAGTCCCCCTCTTCTACCTAGGCACAGACCCAACCCTCCAACACCTAGTGTTTATGTAAGTATCATGTGTTGTGATGTGGAGTCCCCAGTACCCCTCTTCTACCTAGACACAGACTCATTCCTCCAACACCTAGTGTTTATGTAAGTATCATGTGTTGTGATGTGGAGTCCCCCTCTTCTACCTAGACACAGATCCAACCCTCCAACACCTAGTGTTTATGTAAGTATCATGTGTTGTGATGTGGAGTCCCCAGTCCCCCTCTTCTACCTAGACACAGACTCATTCCTCCAACACCTAGTGTTTATGTAAGTATCATGTGTTGTGATGTGGAGTCCCCCTCTTCTACCTAGACACAGATCCAACCCTCCAACACCTAGTGTTTATGTAAGTATCATGTGTTGTGATGTGGAGTCCCCAGTCTCCCTCCTCTACCTAGACACAGACTCAACCCTCCAACACCTAGTGTTTATGTAAGTATCATGTGTTGTGTGTGATGAGTCCCCAGTCCCCCTCTTCTACCTAGACACCGACTCAACCCTCCAACACCTAGTGTTTATGTAAGTATCATGTGTTGTGATGTGGAGTCCCCAGTCCCCCTCTTCTACCTAGACACAGACTCAACCCTCCAACACCTAGTGTTTATGTAAGTATCATGAGTTGTGATGTGGAGTCCCCAGTCCCCCTCTTCTACCTAGGCATAGACTCAACCCTCCAACACCAAATGTTTATGTAAGTATCATGTATGAAATCCCCAGTTCCCCCTTCTATCTCAACATAAACCCTCCAACACCTAGTTTTATGAAAGTATCATGTGTTGTGATGTGAAGTCCCTGTCTTCTATCTAGACATAGACTCCATCTTCCAACACCTAGTGTTTATGTAAGTATCACATTTTGAGAGTTGTAATCCCTAGACCCCTTTCACTTCCTTGTGCTATACTCTATTGTCCGAAAGTTTTGCATACACCTTTGTCTGTCTGTCTATCTGTTCATTCAAAAATTATTTCTGTCACACTTTTCTCAGGTACTGATGAACATAAAGACATGATATTTGGTGATCAGCTTGACTGATGTCTAGTGATGAGTTGTACATGGGAGCACTTCTCAGACCTGTCAGATACTTACTTCCTGTTGCTGATGAAATGACCATTTTTCACTGTGTTGAATAAACTTTTTTTTGTCACACTTTTCTTAAGTCAGCAGCTTAGAAGTGATAGATTTAAAAAAGATTGATCATTATACCCTTTTCATAGTTATGCATTCTTTTTTTTACAGTTAGATACAAAGAAAGATGCTTTTTCATTAGAACTTCAACAATACTGTTACTCTCAGCCAGTGGTAGTGATACGAGGGTTGGCAGGAGCTTTGAAATTAGGTAATTTATGAAAAAGAGATTCAGTGTCCAATCTTGACATCCCAGAAAGGTTTCTTTGAGTTTTATTAAAACAAGACAGTTTTTCTGTACCTTCATCAGAAACGCACAAAACCCCAAAATTTAAATTTAAAAGCCAAGATTGTATAAATACCTTAATTGGTGAGAAGCTTTATGACCATAAGGAACCTGAAAAGTAAAGCCAAATTAGTCTAAGGTCAATTTGCCTGAGTAGCCAAATTGTCTAAGGTCAATTTGCCTGAGAAGCCAAATTTGTCTAAGGTCAATTTGGCTGAGAAGCCAAATTTGCCTAAGGTCAATTTGCCTGAGGAGCCAAATTTGTCTAAGGTCAATTTGCCTGAGGGAGTTGGAACCTTAGTTTCTTAGTTACAACTAAATGTAAGGTATATTAATTAAAACTTAATACAACTACTTTAAAATAGGAACATAAAAGGTCTGTTTCAATTGGATACAACTACTTTAAAATAGGAACATAAAAGGTCTGTTTCAATTGGATACAACTACTTTAAAATAGGAACATAAAATGTCTGTTTCAATTGGATACAACTACTTTAACATAGGAACATAAAAGGTCTGTTTTAATTGGATACAACTACTTTAAAATAGGAACATAAAAAGTCTGTTTCAATTGGATACAACTACTTTAAAATAGGAACATAAAAGGTCTGTTTCAATTGGATACAACTACTTTAACATAGGAACATAAAAGGTCTGTTTTAATTGGATACAACTACTTTAAAATAGGAACATAAAAGGTCTGTTTCAATTGGATACAACTACTTTAACATAGGAACATAAAAGGTCTGTTTCAATTGGATACAACTACTTTAACATAGGAACATAAAATGTCTGTTTCAATTGGATACAACTACTTTAAAATAGGAACATAAAAGGTCTGTTTCAATTGGATACAACTACTTTAAAATAGGAACATAAAATGTCTGTTTCAATTGGATACAACTACTTTAAAATAGGAACATAAAAGGTCTGTTTCAATTGGATACAACTACTTTAAAATAGGAACATAAAAGGTCTGTTTCAATTGGATTTCATGGATGTTATATTTGTTTACTGATTCCTGTTTATCATTAAACTTTTATATCGTTTCTTATATTGTGACTTGAAAATTTGTTATGGCAATTATTGTTATTTTATTTTATGCATTTTGCTTTTGCTTTGTTTTATTATTTCTTGCAGACTTACGACTGCTTTTTATATCTATATTTTATGACTGTATTTTCATATTTATATATACTATCTTGCAGATTTAGGTCTGTTCTCAACAAAAAGTTTGGTAGAAGCTAATGCAGATCATCCTGTAGAAGTCAGAACACAGGTAGGTTTACATAGATATTATCAACCATTTACACAATCCTTAATAACCATCAAGTTTAAGATTATACTAGAGAATAAAGACTGCAAGTTGTTTAAAAGATTTTTCATAATTTGAATGTGAAATAGATATTATTAAATCACTTAATGTATTCCTAAATGTTTAAACGGTTAAGTAATCAACATAGTTGCCTTTTCACCAACAGGTATCAATGTCAATTATAAAAAAATCTCAATGAAAAATAGTGTAAATGTCATGTAGCTACCAAACTGTTGTATACATTGTTTCAGTTCTTGATATCTTATGAGAGCTCTGAATCTTTTATGAATGTATGAACTGGTGAAATGATATCTTGCTATTAATCCTGTATAAGGCTGATAATCCCTCTTGGATTGTAAAATAGCAGAAAACAATTGGTCTAGATCTTTAATGAAATGTGCAAATTTTGAGAGAAGAGTGTAATTCATTGTTAGACTTTTCATCTTGTTGAAGAAAATTATGTGTTTTATCATATTTTTGAGGCTGTTTTATAGAATTCAAATTTTTCATTTTTTTTTTATTATTCTATTTTTTCCTCTTTGCCATATAAGGGGAGATAAATCAGATAATGTAACTTTTATACTGGAATGTGCTATGAATTTACCTATTTTGTTTTGTAGCAAGAAAACAAGTCCTGTGACCCTTATATTTATTTATATTTTCTGATAGCCCATTACAAGGCCTATCATCTCATATTTTATCTAAAATTCTATTGTTTAGTTTTCATTTAATCACACAAAATTGTGTTTTCCATGAACAATCTATGCAAAAACTGACAATTTTGCACAACCTGTAGCTTGAAAAAAGCCCAGTGACCTATACTTTTTATAATATATTTGAAAAAGCAATGATATAAACTACATTTTGGCAAATTATTATAAGATTCTATTGATTTTACTACCATATAATACTTTAAAAAAAAAATTCAATAACAACATTTTTAGAAATTCCGAAAAGGGCAAATTATTAAACTTTTAGTCTATGGTGTATATATGAACCCTCTTTTTGAAAGAAAAAGTTCATTTGGATAAATATTTTTTTCAGAGACAACAAGCTCCAGATGAGAATCGTGATAGCTATGGGAACAAACTCTGGCGGTGTGATAGTAGCCGAGGACTGACATCAATAGCTAAATATGCTCAGTACCAAGCCTCATCATTCCAGGAGTCTCTAAAGGTATGTCTTGTACATACACAAACATATATGTTAAGTACCAAGCCTCATCATTCCAGGAGTCTCTAAAGGTATGTCTTGTACATAAATAAACATATATGCTCAGTACCAAGCCTCATCATTCCAGGAGTCTCTAAAGGTATGTCTTGTACATAAACAAACATATATGCTCAATACCAAGCCTTGTCATTCCAGGAGTCTCTAAAAGTATGTCTTGTACATAAATAAACATATATGCTCAATACCAAGCCTCATCATTCCAGGAGTCTCTAAGGGTGTGTCTTGTACATAAATAAACATATATGCTCAGTACCCAGCCTCATCATTCCAGGAGTCTCTAAAGGTATGTCTTGTACATAAATAAACATATATGCTCAGTACCAAGCCTCATCATTCCAGGAGTCTCTAAAGGTATGTCTTGTACATAAACAAACATATATGCTCAATACCAAGCCTCGTCATTCCAGGAGTCTCTAAAAGTATGTCTTGTACATAAATAAACATATATGCTCAATACCAAGCCTCATCATTCCAGGAGTCTCTAAGGGTGTGTCTTGTACATAAATAAACATATATGCTCAGTACCCAGCCTCATCATTCCAGGAGTCTCTAAAGGTATGTCTGGTACATAAATAAACATATATGTTAAGTACCAAGCATCATTATTCCAGGAGTCTCTAATGGCATGTCTTGTACATAAACAAACATATATGGTCAGTACTAAGCCTCATTATTCCAGGAGTCTCTAATGGCATGTCTTGTACATAAACAAACATATATGGTCAGTACTAAGCCTCATTATTACAGGAGTCTCTAATGGCATGTCTTGTACATAAACAAACATATATGGTCAGTACCAAGCCTCATTATTCCAGGAGTCTCTAAAGGTATGTCTTGTACATAAATAAACATATATGCTCAGTACTAAGCCTCATTATTCCAGGAGTCTCCAATGGCATGTCTTGTACATAAACAAACGGACTTTTTTTTATTATTGATGAAGGAGTGATGGGTTATGTGAGCAGTTAAGTTCTTTAAGAATGTTCGTTACTCTGTTTCAAAATAACAAGCTTTTTAAAAGGCTGTTTTAAGTTGATAGTATTTAAATAAGGAACTGAAAAAGCAGAAAAAAATGAAGGGTCAGTGTGCTTGTTTTCAATATATAAGCCATTGAAAATTTGGCGGGAAATGATTCTCTCTATAGATATTTCAGACATTTAACATTAGCACCTGTTTTCTTTGGAAAACTATGAAAAAATAAGGATTTTATAGGATTTTCAAATATGGCTTTTTAAACAATATATAATAAAATTATGAAAAGAAAAGCAGGGATTAGCGGGCAAAATTTGTAATGGCATTTCATGGATAAAACCAGAGGATTCCGAATATCTGGAAAAAATTCCAAACAAGAGGAGCGAAGATCCTTAAAGTTTGAAATAATTCACATAGGAAAACACAATATACTACACAATGTATTCTTAAAAAACATATGTTGAATATTCAATGATGAATTAACATTTTTGTTTTCTACTAAGTTTTCGTGATTTATCTATTTTTACTATAATTTTAGGAGGAGCATGATAAATCTAAAGGGATCCATCGAGATTCTGACAGTGATTCAAACTCTTCCACTGGACCTAAAGGGTATGTATGTGACTTCCTAGTAAAGACCATTTATATTTTGTGTGTTACCAAGTGCAAGTAAGTTTTGGCCTCCAACACATTTGAGGTAAAAAAATGTCTGTAGTTTTATGAGTTCTTTCTTACTGAAGGAAATGACAAATGAACTGGCAAATTAGAAACGTCATTGGGTAATTTATTCCAAATATGTAATTTTCAAGTATTCTTAAGGAATACAGTCAAATTCAACATACTCTACTCTATAAACTATATCAAAATATAACTTGTAGTAGGAATATTCTTATAGCATTACACTCGGTAAATTCGTACATTATTACAAGACGTGTAATCCATTTGCATCATATAGAGGGACATTCTTAAAGCACTTTACCAGATAAATTCGTTTAGCATTAGGCCTTTTATAGCTGGGTTTTTCTCATTGTTGAAGGCCATACTGTTGCCTATAATTGCTTACATCAATTTAATTTGAAATGTGGTGGCTAATTGTCTCGATGGCAATCATACCACATCTCCTTTCTTTTATATTGGTTAATTCATGTAGCGTGACATTATGAACAATCTCATTGTATTACACTGGGAACATTCTTATAGACACTAGGTACATTCTTATAGCATTACGCTAAGTACATTCTTATAGCATTACACTAGGTACATTAGCATTACGCTAAGTACATTCTTATAGCATTACACTAGGTACATTAGCATTACACTAGGTACATTCTTATAGCATTACACTAGGTACATTCTTATAGCATTACACTAGGTACATTTTTGTAGCATTACACTAGGTACATTAGCATTACGCTAAGTACATTCTTATAGCATTACACTAGGTACATTTTCATACCATTACACTAGGTACCTTCTTATAGCATTACACTAGGTACATTCTTATACCATTACACTACATACCTGTCTGATCTGTCAGACACCTACCTCCTGTTTTTTGTTGAGCCTGCGACTTTTGTCGCAAAAGCGAGACATAGCGATCGTACATTCCGGTGGCGGCGACCACAAATATTCACTCTGTGGTTAAAAGTTTTTGCAATTTTAATAACTTTCTTAAACTGTCCTGGGTTTGTACCAAACTTGGACAGAAGCTTGTTTATGATCAAAAGCTAGTATCTAGAAGGAAATTTTGTAAAAATTTATTTCCTGTTTTTCGTATATTACTTATAAATGGACTTAAATTTTCTTCCAGTTAACATTATATACAGTCTGCAGTTAAAGTTTTTAAAACATTTATTAGATTCATAAACCATCCTTGATTTTTACCAAACTTGGACAGAAGCTTCTTATTTATTTATTTCATTAACTGTAAATCTATTATGTGCATTCCCCTATCACACTGAAAACATAGACAACAGCAAAAGTAGGCGAGACACTGGGTTCCGCGAACCCTTTCGAATTTTTTATACTTTGATTTACAAGTAGGGGTATTCTTAGCATGAAAATGTGTGAACCTTGTTAGACTATCATTTTCTTTTCTTCACATTTAACTCTTTATCAAGGATTTTGAGAGATAAAAGAACTACTATGCTAAAGTCATTGTGTTTTACTATAGAGAAATATCCATTCAAAATATCATTTGGATGCTTAAAATATATCTTTGCAAGAAATAGCATTCCTTTATTGTTTATCTTGACTATTCAACAGTATAAATTTACTGACAAACTATATGTTTTTATTCCTGTAGTTTTATTCCTAAAGTTGTATACTGTAAATTCCGAAATTATTGTGAGGTTTTTGTCGAGCCTGCGACTTTTGTCGCAGAAAGCTCGACATAGGGATAGTGATCCGGCGGCGGCGGCGGCGGCGGCGTTAGCTAACTTCTTAAAAGCTTTATATTTTAGAAGGTGGAAGGTCTGGATGCTTCATACTTTGTATATGGATGCCTCATGTTACGAAGTTTCCGTCAGTCACATGTCCAATGTCCTTGACCTCATTTTCATGGTTCAGTGACTACTTGAAAAAAAAGTTAAGATTTTTTGTAATGTTAGATTCTCTCTTATTATAAGTAAAAGGATAACTATATTTGGTATGTGCGTACCTTGCAAGGTCCTCATGCCCGTCAGACAGTTTTCACTTGACCTCGACCTCATTTCATGGATCAATGAACAGGGTTAAGTTTTGGTGGTCAAGTCCATATCTCAGATACTATAAGCAATAGGTCTAGTATATTCGGTGTATGGAAGGACACTAAGGTGTACATGTCCAACTGGCAGGTGTCATCTGACCTTGACCTCATTTTCATGGTTCAGTGGTTATAGTTAAGTTTTTGTGTTTTGGTCTGTTTTTCTTATACTGTATGCAATAGTTCAACTATATTTGGTGTATGGAAATATTTTATGATCTATTTGGCAGTCAAGCAGGTTTTATTTGACCTTGACCTCATTTTCAAGGTTCATTGCTCAGTGTTAAGTTTTTGTGTTTTGGTCTGTTTTTCTTAAACTATAAGCAATAGGTCAACTCTATTTGTTGTATGGAAGAATTGTTAGCTGTACATGCCTGCCTAGCATGGTTCATCTGACCTTGACCTCATTTTCATGGTTCATTGGTCAATGTTTAGTTTACTTGGTTAATGTTAAGTTTATGTGACAGTTGTAATAAAGCTTTATATTTAGGACTATCAACATAATATCAATGATTAGTAAAGAAGGCGAGACATTTCAGCGTGTGCACTCTTGTTATTATTGTGATTGGGACTGTGTGATTATGGCAATTATAAGAACTCACATTCTGATATCTGACACACATATCTGTATGCAGATTTATCTGAAATCGCAATAATAAATAGCGCATTTTTGTCCTTTCATCAAATATCGCAATAATAAATGCACACAATAATTTCTGAATTTACAGTATTTGAAAATTCTTTAAATGCTTATGCTAGTTTAAGGATAAAAATTCAGCAGTACTTGCTTGACTATTTTTGTTATGATTATTGCATCATTATTTGTTTTCTTTAATTTCCGCATGAATACATGAACGATTTTTTCATGTATTTTCAGAAAGAAGAAATTTAAGTATATAAAATTTGGTACAAATGTTGATCTGTCAGATGAAAGAAAATGGAAGCCACAACTACAGGAGTTGATGAAATTACCAGCGTTCTGTCGCGTTGTGTCTGCCAGCAATCTCCTAAGTCATGTTGGACATACAATATTGGGTATGAACACTGTGCAGCTGTATATGAAAGTTCCAGGATCACGAACACCAGGTTAGTATGTACAGGTTAATCAGTCATTATGGAGTTTATAATCTGTAAATGGTAAAATTGATTGTTAAATTGATGTGTTACAGATATACTGAATCAGTTAGCTATAACACTAAACACTAAAACAAAACATCAAATACAAACAGTTTGAGACAAAAAAAGGGTAAGCAAATGCACTTACATTCTATTATATTTTAGTGAAATTTTCATTGTACAATCTCTTTTTCTTTGAAGTAGAAGTTCATTTATTTATTTTTACAGACTTAAAAACTAACACAATAGAAACATAATGTGATTGAAAATGCCTGCTATAAAAAAAATCTTGAGTTATTTCCCCTATATAGTGTCAAAGTACATCAGAGTTAGTTCCCTTTGAACACTATCACAGATCTTTGGATGCTTTGACTTGACGTCTTACCTAGGTGTCTTTACAGAATATGTATTAAAGCTAAACTTACCTTCTTTTATTTCAGGACATCAAGAAAACAACAATTTTGGTTCCATAAATATAAACATAGGACCAGGAGATTGTGAATGGTTTGGTGTACCGGATAATTATTGGGGTGTTATACAAAATATGTGTGAAAGGTAATACACATTTTCATCAATTTTATGAATGAAAACTCAAGAGTCAAATTTATTGTCATAATTTGTATAATGCTTAAATTTTTTTAAAACAATCCAAAAAGTGAAAATATATAAATAATCTTAAAACAAGTATATTTAAGATAATAAAAAGGTGTTCTAGAAGTATATTTTACACTGCACAGTTATAAGGATCCTAACATATGTATTAGACTAACCAGAAGTAATCATATAGTTGGTTGATTGTATTTTAAGCTTTTTAAAAATACACAGATAAAAGTTCAGCCTGATCAAATTGAATGTTTATTCCAGAAATAATCTGAATTATTTGACTGGTTCTTGGTGGCCTATATTAGAAGATCTGTATGAAGAAAATGTTCCAGTGTACAGGTTTATCCAGAAACCAGGTGATTTGGTATGGGTTGGATGTGGTACAGTTCACTGGGTCCAGGCAGTGGTAAGTAAGGGTGACCTACATGTATCACAGTTTATCTTCTATAGGTTAGATGTGAGCTTGTGTATTAAGAAAAAATTTAAGAAAAAATGGATTAATGCTGAGGAGACAACTATCAACAAAGAACCAAAAAGGATTGAATCGTGAATTCTTACTGCATGCACGTAATTCACTTTTATTGCATAGATGTTTTTAATGATAACTGAATAATTGTTAGATAGGTGATTACACACTCCTGTATAAACTTGAGAAGAAGCAGATTAGCTTTAATTTTACTTATGAATGGTTTTTTACAGGGATGGTGTAATAATATTGCCTGGAACGTAGGACCAGTTAATCACAAGGCCTATCAGATGGGCATAGAAAGATACGAGTGGAATAAGCTACAGAATTATAAATCTATTGTTCCCATGCAACATCTCTCATGGAATATAGCCCGTAATTTACAAATCTCTGAACCAACATTCTTTGAATTGGTAAAGTAAGTATTATCTTATTATTTTATTCTTCTTGTAACTATTCCTAAGACATTTCTGCCCCTGGATATCTTCAGTTCCTCTGTTATCTCCCTAAACAACATGGTAGATCAGTCATCTTTCACAACACATACCATTGGTATCTCCCTAAACAACATGTTAGATCAGTCATCTTTCACAACACATACCATGCTGTTGTTTGTGTCACACTTTGTTAATCCACATCTCCTAGAAAATGGATTGACATATTTCAACTAAACACATCTGCTTTTACAGGAAATGAAGTTCTGCACTTGATATTTTAATGTTTGGGGTTTCCAATACTTAAACCATTTCTGATTATATTATTTGGAGATCCCAGTAGACACACATCTTCCAAGGAAGACTTGCACATTATTTATTGTATTTATTGAAAAACTCAAGAAAACTATTAGATATCTACCAAAAAAATTAAAAGTTCTTTTTTCAAAATTGTTATTTGGTCAATGATCAACCATCTAAACAGCATTCAAAAACAAAATATCACTTACACAATGTGCTCTAGATAGACCCAAGATGGAAAAAAAACTATTCATTGTAATCATATATGCCAGGTAATATAGTCAGCAACAATTTACTTTAATTTTGAACTTATTTTTTTCTTTTTTTAGAACTGTGTTGATGAGATCTATGAAACAGATTCGATTGACAATGGATTTTGTAGAAGCCATGGGGAAAGACATCAAATGGCAAGGACGATCTGATAATGAGGCTGCTCACTACTGCAATAACTGTGATGTAAGTATGACGATTCAAAATACAGATACTTTATAGGGGAACTGATAATGAGGCTACTCTTTACTGCAATAACTGTGATGTAAGTATGACGAGTAAAAATACAAATACTTTATAGGGGAACTGATAATGAGGCTGCTCTTTACTGCAATAACTGTGATGTAAGTATGACGAGTAAAAATACAAATACTTTATAGGGGAACTGATAATGAGTTTGCTCCTTACTGCAATAACTGTGATGTAAGTATGACGAGTAAAAATACAAATACTTTATAGGGGAACTGATAATGAGGCTGCTCCTTACTGCAATAACTGTGATGTAAGTATGACGAGTAAAAATACAAATACTTTATAGGGGAACTGATAATGAGTTTGCTCCTTACTGCAATAACTGTGATGTAAGTATGACGAGTAAAAATACAAATACTTTATAGGGGAACTGATAATGAGTTTGCTCCTTACTGCAATAACTGTGATGTAAGTATGACGAGTAAAAATACAAATACTTTAAAGGGGAACTGATAATGAGTCTGCTCCTTACTGCAATAACTGTGATGTAAGTTTGACGAGTAAAAATACAAATACTTTACAGGGGATCTGATAATGAGGCTTTTCCTGCTGCAAAATATGACAAACAAAAATTCAAGTACCGTACTATAAATAAAATAAATATATAGATTTACAGTTTAAACAGAGGAAATATGACTTATCATTGAAAATAAGCGTTTTAAATTCCGGAAGAATAGTTATTTGACCAGGTGCTGATTTATTTTAAACTTTTATACCTTTATTTTATAATCTGTTTATTGCTTAGGTTTATATGGTTAGATATCTTATCTTGAGTGGTTAAATTATGTTTTTAAATTATTTATCATGATGAACTCTTATTTGTGGTTTTACTAATAATTGATCTCATTGAAAGCACCTTTGAAACTTTTATTAAAAGTTAACGTGTTTGATAAAAACAAATGAAATGAAAAATATTTTTGTTTGGGAAATTATGTTTCAAACAGAAATGAATTAAGTATATAGTTGTTTTATTTAAATCTTGTAATTTAATATCAAATATGTCCACGGAGGAAATAATCCTTTTTATTCTGTCTTTATAGGTTGAAGTGTTTGACATTTTGTTTGTGATGGAACAAGATCGTAAATATGTTGTACATTGTATGGATTGTGGTAGAAAAATAAGTAATATATTGGAAGGCTTTATCATCCTCAATCAATACAGACTAGAAGAATTATGTGATGTCTACGATCGCTTCCAACTCTCATGTCATGTAAGTATTGTTATTCCTTATAACTGTTCAAGAAAAAGAATATAAAAGAACAATAGCAGTATTAATTTCAATAAATAAAAGTTACCGTTACATTTAATGTACATCTGCAGTACGATCATTTTTATTTCTGTAATCTTGGCCAATTTATGCTTCCCCCAACTGGTTAGTTATTTTCAATGTGTGGTTCTTATGGTCTCAGTTCTCCATTGGTCAAATTTCAATCATGAGGTCAAGAATTACCTATTGTGATATCACAAAAAAAGCAACAATGCCTGATGACGTCCAACATAGAAAAAACAAAACTTTTGGCAGATTTGTGATAAAGAACGATGAAGTTTGTCTATATATCGTCTCAAATCATCAGAGAAACACATTGCACCACTGAATATCCAGCACTATGATATTTCTCCTCTCTAGGCAGTTCAATTTTGAATATTTAAAAGGCTCTTTTAATTTAACTGTCTAGAGTGGTGAAATGTCATATCAAACTTGATGCAGTGGTAGAATCTATAAATATATCATTTAGTTTACACTCCTAACACCAAAATTGTAATGTCGTATCAAACTTGATGCAGTTGTAGAATCTATAAATATATCATTTAGTTTACACTCCTAACACCAAAATTGTAATGTCGTATCAAACTTGATGCAGTGGTAGAATCTATAAATATGTCATTTAGTTTACACTCCTAACACCAAAATTGTCTGTTGATTGTTATTTAGTCAGACATACTGACAGTAGTATATAAAAATATTATAAGAATTGTCATTTTCGTCTTAATGCACATTTTTAAAACACAAAAATTTTCAGTATAAAACAATATTTATGTCTTTGTTTTTCAGTTGCCAACGGCATCAGTGTGATAAATACCCTGGCCTGTCATGACAGAAACTATAAGAAGACAAGTAGCCTTGTATAAACTGTTGATAAATCCTTACCTTCTGTCAGTGCAGACATATAAAACTTGTCCCTTTACTTCACAGAGCATCACTATTGTATTATGTGTCAATATCAGTTCATTGTTTGCTATTTTGGGTGAATTATCATTTCAACAGAACAATTATTAACTAAAAAAATTGTCAGCCATTATCAAATTAACTTAATTTATTAACCTACTAATGCCTCTGGTTGTTAATTTTTAACCACTGTGAATTTTGTCCGTTTAGAATTTACATATATAGATCTGCTAGTGATAGAACAAATAAACTATGTCCGAACTATTCAGCAAGCATTCCTACATTATAATGGTCATTGTTCATCTTTGTATAAACTCTAAAAAACAACTACCGGTTCAGAAGGAAAAGTGCCCACTTGGGAAAGTTTGTTTTGTATGATTGATTAAGTCATCAGTATTGAATACAGGAGTAAAACTTTAGAGTAATAAAAACAGATTATTTTCATTAACATACTACCACCTAGTATTGTATAAGGCCAAGTATATTTATATCCTATGCAAATTATCAAAATAAGGATCATTATATTATTTTTATAGATCATCATTATACCTCACAATTTGTTACCATGGTTACATAATGTATGATCATATTTCTGTTCAAATTCCCATCCAGAATGAACATTAAAATTGGTGCATGAGTTGAATGATTGATCTGTGGCATATCAGCTAATCAGATATTTAAAGGGAAAAAGCACTTGAAATCAAATAATTGTCATAAAAAAAAGAAAAGAAAATAGCATCTGTTTGTTACATCCTACAGTACTGTCATAAATAAAAGAAATAAAAGAATAAATGTATGCTGATCATATTACTAAAATTCCAAACATTAGAAGCAGATAATTTGTGCAGGTTAACGGAATTACTCACAGCTTTATGAAAAATAGTCATCTATAAATAATTTTTATTTATCAGGTTTGAGATGCTTTTGATGTGAGTGGTTATCATATTTATCATACCCCATCATATTTTTGTGTTGTTAGGCAGGGAACTGTGGGATGGTTTGTTGGAATGGAAAAGGACAATAGATTTTATTTTTGATAAAAAATTTCCCTCAAAAAGTATTAGAAATGCTATACTAAGGCTATAGTACTCTACCTTTTTAATTAATGTCCTTCAGCTTGCTTTAATATTTTTTGACAACAGGAAATTTCTGTTTTCTGAATTCCTAAATGCTATAGAAATGGATATATTAGTTGTAAATGGACATTCTCTCAGGTATTTTATGAATCAGAACCGTTTTCCATTCCACAAACCATCACATTTATAACTTAATTGATCTCAATTTCATTGTAATTATCATCAGGAGATTTATATTCAAATTTTATTATAATTTATTTAAAAACATGTATGTTTATTAAATTACACTGTGTATGGCTTATTTATTTATATTTTATATTGAACAACACTTGGTTTATTTTTCTTGTGGTAAGACCACAATTGTGTTTAGCTGTGGAGCTTTGGTCAATTTCTGAAAATTAATAGATAAGGAATAAATGGGTTTTGCAACAAATGTGCTTTTTTTCTAAAGAATTTTTCAATTGGTTATAGATGTGTGGTATTCATAATTTTTGTGAAAGGTTTTATATGATGAACATTTTTTTATGAGGAATTGACAATTTTGATGGTTTGTTTTAGGTCAATTGTGTGGCTTTATTTGAACCTGGCCGGATTGCCAAGGTAGTTTGTTAGTATTGAATAATGGAATTGTTTGGATCGTTATAAATGTAACTACAATCCTTCCCATAATAAAGAATGGTGTTAATATTCTATAAGTTACATTTCAGTAAAGTCAGATATAACTACATAGTACTATATCTTATACAACATTTGATTATCACAATCACTTTAAACAATGTTTTATAGTTTAGTTCACAATGTGAAACTGGAATGGCTGATTTTATTTGATAATGATAGCTGAATAAAAAGTATAAAATGTAAGAAAGTATTTAACAAAAAAGAGTTCGAGATCAGTAAACATCACATCAAATTCGACATGTTACATGTAGAAGTATATTTCTCACCCTCTTATTTAACACATATGGACTGAAATGTTGTCTTAATATTCCAACCTCCCAAGCAATTGACTAGATAATTGGAGGTGGAAGTCTTACCCTCGCTATCAGGTTTTAAATATTTTTATATCTTTATCTTGGGATAATTCCAAAAATTGAAACTTTTCAAATTTTGATATTAAAATGTTTTAGCTTAAAGAAAAAGGTAAGGTTATCAATTAATAAATGTTATACATGTATATAACATGTCATGTGAGAAAGTTATACATGTATATAACATGTCATGTGAGAACAAGAGATAACAGAACTTTACAAATACAAAACCTACAATTAACGAAATAGATAGGTTTGTTTGTTATATAATAAATCAAAATAAGGAGGAGGTGTGTTGTTAGATTGAAATTTATTTTTTGTTAATATGTAAATTTATTGAGGTAGTCATACTTAATGTATGACAGAATGTAAATGGTGTACATATGTGTTTTTTAGATGTTTGAAGTGAGCTATTTTTAGGATTGGTGTAATTGTTAATGTGCTAAATATAGTAACATGTTGGCTGAGTTAATAGTAACTACCTGTGTATATTTGTTTCCCCTGTTAAACTCTGATTGTGATCTATGGTGCTTTTTGTTATACAAACATTTCATATGTAAACTAAATGTTCAATCTTATTCCCCAACACTTACAAGTGAAATTAAATATACCTTGTGAGAAAGCAGCGAAATAGTTTTAGTATTGAAACTATTTGCCAAGTGGTCTAAGTAGTTAAACTACTGTATCACTAGCCTGTCAACATTGAGGCTGTGAATTTGAACCCTGCACATAGCAGGTGTAATAGACTCCAATCTTAATTGACTGGGATTGTCAGTTTTCCAGGTGAAGGTCGTGATTCTCTCTGTACACTGTGGGTTACTCCTTCAATTAAAACTGGCCGCTACGAAATAGCCAATAGTGCTTAAAGTGGCATTAAAACACCAAAAATAATCAATCAATCAATCTGTTTCACTTTATTGTCTTAGTAATTTTTTAATTGAAATTGAGGAAGATGTATTAAATATTTTGCTCAGAGCTTTAAAATTGAAAAATTTCTGTTTCTTTAAGAATATTTGAAATACTGACATTTTACCTGATAAGAACAAAGACTTTCTATCCTTGTTTTAAACTTTCTATGAAAGAGGGGCCAAAAGGAAGATATTCATCTTTTTCCTGCAAAATAAGTTTTCAAACGTGTTTTCCATGACTTTTCATTGATCTTTGTAAATATTGTATTTTTTTGTTGTTGATCAGAATGAATGGTTGACTTTGCTAAACAGTTCAATTGTTTATAGTTATCATGCAAGACCAAAATCTGGCTTCATTGAAAAACCAGAGGAGTCCAGCAAACCATTTACTGTTTAATTGGAGAAAATAATTTGTTGTTTCCATGGAAACAATATTTTATTCTTAGATAAAATTGTTTCTTTATTTAATACTAATATAGAAAAAAAATTGTAGAGTACAAATTAAATTCGATTTTTAAAATCAGGTTGACTGGAAAAATTTTACATTTCCAAATAAACAGTAAAACATTATTCTCCAAATGATTTTGTCATCATTACTTTGGGATTATATGCCAGAAATATGTTATTAGCGTGATCTCAATAGTGTACTCATACAGTGTAAATTAATGTTTAACTTATCTTGTTTTACCTCACATCTCAGCTTTGTTTGGCCATGATATAAAATATTTCTAATTCTTGTTTATCATCCCCCTGTGGTCAATAGTACATTATATTCACAAAATAAAAAATAATCCACAAAATTATTAGACTTAGATGCAGCAAGTCGTTTTATATCAAATAGTTCGGAATTATCATAATGTTAGATAAAAACACATGAATTTGATTAATAAGAAGTTTATAAAACCTAACCCTGACATTTTCATCTTCACTGCTATAAAGACATCATTTAAACTTGTCCATAGTTAGCTGTATAAATGATGATTTAGAAACATTTTTATTGTGGCCACATTGATAATTAATGATATTTATACTGTGTTATAATAAAACACGCCAATATTTCTTATATACTTGTTCTTTTTTCTTCAATATTCAGACAAACCTGGTTCTCTCCTTTGTTGTTGAGAAACTTTGATACCAGTTATGCCAAAGTTTAGTTTTCAGTTGCCATGTTCTGTTGCCAGAGTTTTGACACAAATATCTGGCCATACATTTTATTCTTGAACTCCCTGGAAATTCTGTTCAGAACTAACATCATATATGACTACAATATTCCATCCTGACTAGTATCATACTACAAGTGGTAGAAGTAGAACTATGAATAACAGGAGGTATGGAGTATACATCAGTGAGACAGCAACCAAACAAAACAAATAATCTTAAAGATATCTAGGTGTTAACACTTAGTAGACAGGTGTCTTGTATTATATGTCCAGTTTTAAATCGTCCTATCTAAAGGTGGTGAGTGAATTCAAAAGAGACTATCAAAGATCTACCTTCAATATCAAATTCTACAATTAACAAAAAAAACCTTAAAAATGACAAACACTGATAAGGTTCCTGACTAAAAACATGCACAGAAATTAATTTCTAGGTTTGACTTTTTTAAAGTCTCAACCATCCCCTTTTTAATCTCGATCAGTTGACTAAAAAAAGTTCATAAAAGAACATGCAACAAAAGTAAGTACAGAAAAAGCTGTCAACTCTCTTAATAAAAGTGTAGTAAATAACAAACAAAAAAACATTGAATGCTTGCAATTACTGAAAGCAAGCTCAAAGCATAGCGACTTGGTATGAAATTATGCCGTCCTATTCTTTAATGTTGATGGCTGTAAATAGCAGTAGATCATAATATACATAGAGCTATGTTTTCGAAAGTTATTGGAAATACTTCAATGTAGGTGGCTGTAATTTAAAGTAGATATTGTACATTATAAATACAGCTATGTTTACCAAAGTTATTGGAAATACTTCAATTTAAGTGGCTGTAATTAGTCCCCTACCGACGAAGTTGAAGGGGACTTTAGGTTTGCACTCCGTCCGTCTGTCTGTCTGTCTGTCTGTCCATCCGTCAGTCCGGCAAATCAGTTTTCCACACTTTTTTTCTTCATGCTTGAAGATATTGATTTGATATTTGGTGTATTGTTTTTTCATGACAAGTTACAGATCAAGTTGGAATTTTGTTCCGGTCTGATGATTTTGTGCAGAGTTAGGGTCCTTTGACTTATAAAAATCACTAAAATAATCAGTTTTCCGCACTTTTTTTTGTCATTCTTTAAGATATTGATTTGAAAATTGGTATATAGTTTTATCATGACAAGTTACAGATCAAGTTCGAATTTTGTTCCGGTCTGATGATTTTGTGCAGAGTTATGGTTCGTGGACTTAAAAAATTCACTTAAATAATCAGTTTTTAACACTTTTTTTTGTCATGCTTGATGATTTTGACTTGATATTTGTTATATAGTTTACACCATGACAAGTTAAAGATCAAGTTAAAATTTTGTTCCAATGGAATGAATTTTTAATCGGTTAGGGACTATGTATTGCCATGCAATACTCACAGAATGTTTGTTTAAAGTAGATATTGTACATTATAAATACAGCTATGTTTTCCAATATTATTGGAAATAGTTCAATGTAGGTGGCAGTAATTCGCAGTAGATCTTGTACAACATTATAAATACAGCTATGTTTGTGAGCCCTTAACTATCCCACTAACCTTGGACACAAAAGGAGTAAACTGTATAAATCAGCTGGAAAAGGATTGACTCATCAGATCAGTACTAAGCACAAAAACAAATAAGACAAATGACAAAAGACAAAAGATACAGAATATCAATCTAAGAGTGTTTGCAATAACTGAAAGCTAGTTGATCCTAGTTCAAAACCCAATTTGAACAAATCAATAAATCATATTTTCCCCGACTTTTATCAATCAGTACACATCTCACAAATTTAATGTAAAGATGTCATAAGCAGTCTGAGAAAAGCATTACCTAGTGCAATGCAAAAATATGAGTATTGGGTATGGTATAGGGACAAGTTGTAATACATTGATAGCAATACACATGTTTAGTTATCTATTAAACTTTCCGACAAAGGCAATATTCAAATATCTTTTTGCAATGCTAAATTTATAGGGAATTATTCAAAAATCAAATGAGCTGATACAGATCATATCTTAGTTTGCAAGCTCTATAAACAACATCACCATAAAAATTAGGATATGATATCATGTTTGTAACCAGATTTCTACAGGCAATCCAAATTTGTGTATCTATGAAAGCTGCAAGCATATTGTAATTTGTCACAAGTATTGAGATACCTGACTCAATAATTTTTCAGTTATATTTATATAGATTATGTTAAAAAATATAATATAAAAACAAGGAGATGTGGTATGATTGCCAATGAGACCACTTTTGCAGCCAGAGTGTAAACAAATACAGGTCATTGTACGTGCTTCAACTATGAGCAAAACCCATAGCATATTGTCAACCATAAAATGCCCCGGCATGACAAAATGTAAAAGAATTCAAATCAGGAAACCAACGGTCTGATTTATGACAAAACAATAAAAGAATAAAACAACAAATATGGCAGACAGCAACCTACAAAAACCACTAAATTACTGGCTCGTGACTTTGGACAGGCAGCTTTTGAATATGGCGGGATTAAACGTGTTTATGAGCGTTCACTACATACCAGGGCGAAGCGTATATGTAAGGAAATATACACATCTAAAGAGGGACCAAAGGAACACTGACGTCTAACAGGGGGAAATTGACAATAGGGGTCAAAAAAACGTATGTTGTTATTTTTGTAGGTTTCTCGTATGTGACTGCAAGATGTTCACATTAGATTTATAAAGTAATTATATTTAAAGTAATATGTAAATGAGGAGATGTGGTATGGTTGCCAATGAGACAGCTATCCACCAGAGTAAAAGAGTAGCGAAAGATACCAGAGGGACATCCAAATTCATAAGTCGATAATAAACTGACAACTCCATGGCAATAAAGGGAGAAGGCCAAAAGGCAAAGAACTGTATACAAAACACAACAAAGAAAACTAAAGACTCAGCAACACCAGAGACATATATACACATATATGTATATATATGTCTCTGGCAACACGAACCCCATCAAAAGGTGCTCCGGAAGGGTAAGAAGATCCTGCTCCACATGTGGCACCCTTTTCTTTGAGTAAAATTTCTGCAGTATAATTTGAAAATGCTTTGTTATTTAAAGCAAAAAAACTATCGATTTAAACGGTAAGTGTTATCAACATTAATCTGTTACATGGTTTTAGACTGATTTTACTGAGTTTGACCATAAACTGTGATTTATAATAATACAGGAACAAGTTCTTTATATATATAAGAGGAGCATCCGATGCCAGAGTGAATACCTACAGACATGTTTAAAATAACCTTAATTGCTGAAACGTCCATGAGAAAATGCATAGCTTTCCCCAAAAACATAGGGGTAAAATGTAGCATTTGTTTAATATCTCGAAAGCCATAATAGAGAAAATCTGACAGGGGTGAAAATTTCCAGAATGTCAATTTCTACTTACTTTCCACTGGGAACAGTATATCTAACAATATATATGTTCCTGCTTTCCATTAGTACCAAAGATGTAAGACGCATTCAAATAGGAGTTACGAGGGCTTGATGGGGTTTACATACGGAAAAGAGAATAACTAGACAAAAAATTACTATAATAGAGAAAATGGGGGGAAAAAGAATACAGAATAATGGGCATGCATTCAGAAATCAAGACACCCTATCCGGACTCAAATGTAGGACTGAAAGTCACAGGACAATAGGTCATGGACAAAAAGTCACAATTCAGCTTTGAAATTATTTTTCTTGAATAAGAAAACACTTATTTTTGAAAAAGATGTATTGTATTTTCTTGAGTTATTATATATAAAGCAACTTTGTCAACAAAATGTATTCTAAAAAAATCAATATTGATCATATGATTGTTAAGAAAACAATTTGTCAAAGTGGCTTGGTACTTAAATGACTGCATGGTGTCAAGAAATATTCTATTTGGTAAACGGACAGAAAGTCACAGGACAAAAAGTCACAAGACATAAAGTGACAATTGATTTGTTGACATATGTTTGAATATATTATAGAAATATCTTGAAATATTTTCTATTTATTACATACAATCAAATTTAAGTTTAGGAAATTGTTCATAAGCCCTGATAAATGAACATTTATTAAATTTTAATCATGCAAAAGATATATTTCTTGGCACTATGAAGCCATTTAAGTACCAAACCACTTTGACATTTTCTTTTCATAACAGTTATTTGATCATTATTGATACTTATTGAATACATTTTAATTACAAAGTTGCTTCATTTATAATAGTTCAAGAAAAAAACAAAAAAAAATATTTTTAAAATTAGTGTTTTCTTGTTCAAAGAAAAATGATCTCTAAACTGAATTGTGACTTTTTGTCCTGTGAATTTTTGTCCGTGACTTTTTGTCTGTGACTTTTTGTCCTGTGACTTTCTGTCCTACACGCATGTTTAAAATTTTATAAATTTTGATGTATCAAGGCTTATGAACAATTTCGTTAACTGTAAAATGAATATATGTAATAAAAAGAACTTATTTCAAGAAATTTCTCTTATAAAAATTCAAACAATTTTAAACAAATTATGTGTGACTTTTTGCCTTTCAAATTTGTGACTTTCTGTCCGTTTACCTCCGGACTCACATCGATTGCCCCTAAATGACTATTTCTGACGAATTTTATCAATTTTGCCTACGTTTAATAGAATACAGAGAAAGTGTAAACAACAAAATTGATCAGCAATACAGGATTTAAAAATAAAGAGAGTCTTTGGAAATATTTATTGACTACTTATAGGCGTTCTTGTCCTTAAGTGACTATCCTGACAAATTATAGCTGTTCACTGAAGCTATTAACTGATGGGGATTGGTGCCTGAACAAGTACCACAGGAATGGTATTGTTTATGGAAAGTACGAGTGCCTGTATGACTCCTTATATGTATATATGTATATATGTGTTTCTAA